ATGCTTAACCAGGCTGCTGCAGTTACTCTTCACCCAAAGTACTGTCTTATACATTTTGCTAAGTTGTCTAAATCCTGGTGCAGTATTGATTTCTCTCTCTGTGAGCTTGCATCCATTCGATAAGCTGCAAGAACCCCTTGTCCTAGTTCAATTCCCTCCAAAACAGGGTCCAAGCGTGTTAGTCCTGACAGTGGTCTTACAGCTAAGAGCTGATTGTTTGTCGGTAGGAAACAAACAACTGGAGACAGAAAAGGAAATTTTATCTTAAAGAGAGAAACATGGCCAAGAAAGACAGTCATGACTGATGTTAAATGAAAAGGGTTACTAGATATATGTATAATCTTATTTTAATAAAAACCATTAACAACCCACCCAACAAATCAAAACACTACATGTTTATATACATATACAGTCATAGTGACAAAGTCTAGTGGGGTAAATAATGTATTTCCATGAACAGTGTTTATTTGCTGAGTAGCAGGATGTTGATTAGTTGTTTTCTATAGTATCTGAATTTTCCACATTGAGTATTAATTCATTTTATAATGGGAAAAAAACCAACCCCAACAAACCTGGTTTACTGTGCAGGAGAAAGTAAGACCTCAATAATTTTAGAGTCTAACCTAAGCAATATTACTCTTTGCCTTCAAAATAAGGAGATTTTTAAAGTCCCTCTAGGATTTCTTTAAGAGCTGATTTTCTGTGTATTAAGCATTTAAAACATGCAGCACCGAGAATTTATTAAAATAAGAGGCTAGCACTCACAACCTCAAGATTGCACAGTCATTAAGAATAATGAAATGATACAGGGAGGCCTATGAGGAGAAAATGAACCATCGAAGGGCCTCTTCAAGAGGTTCTGCACTGCTCATACAGGGAGCCAGTGGGGACAGAAAATGCTTGTCTATGGAGAGAGAAGGGCAATCTCTTTCAAAATGTTCCAATCAGCTCCTAAGAGGCAATCTAGAACTTTATGACTTAAAAAAACCAGGGTATCTATTTCATTTTCTTATATATGCCTTAAGATATTTTCTTCTAAAAGAAATATCTCATTTATTCAACTATCAATACGCATGAATACATACAAAATTTATTTGAGTTTGCCGCTCCGTCAACAGATCTTTTTCTTTCATTATCTTGAGACTGGTTCAAGACAAGACAATCACAAGGCTGGCAGTTCAAAGAAATAGAATTCTTATTATGGCACAGTATCACTGCCTCTTAGGCTGGTTTAGTCACTTATTTCCTTTTATTATAATGCCAAATGTTATTTAGATTTCAGTCATTTAGTAATGCTACACTGAACACATCAGGGCTTCTGAAAAATTCCACACCTACTAGGCCTTTCATTTTCATAATAACCGCATATCGATATCCCCTTTCCACCCAAATTACACAACTATTTACAAAAGAATCTGTGTTATATCAGAGTTTAAAAGATTATGAAGCAATGAACAGCAGTCTCGGGAAAAAATATTCCTTCGTGTCATTAAGAATGAGAAAATCTTGTTAAAATTCTTTCAGCTTTTAAGAAACATAAGCAGCTTTGGGATGTAGTGCCTGACATGCACTTTTTACATTAATTCCCTTGGAGCGATCATCTGCATTAGTGAAGATATTTAAAGGTAGCATCCTATGTTGTTTTTCAGTTATTTGAACAACCAATCTACTGGTTCATTTTTTTAAGACAAAGATTTGCAATAACCAACATTACAGATTTTTAAGACAGTAATAGCTTAGCATGACCTGATGGTGAAAGAGACACTCATGTCAAAGGGCAGAAGCCATTCTTTTATGACTGTACCTAATGAGCTCAAAGCTCAGAAAGCAGTGTTTTCAATGTTCTTGCTAGAATGGCTAAAGGTATCATGGGGAAGTAGAGAAAAATAAACTCAAATAAATGTATGGTACCTGTAACTGTTAAATGAATAGTCCCTTTAAAGGATAGTAGTAGTTGAAAGAGGTATATATTGTTCTTGTTATCCAGAATTGAAAGATTCTGAGTAAGAACTACTGAGCGCAGTTTTATGCATACTGGTGCATTTAGAAGAGTCATGGGATTTATCAGAATTCCAATATTAAATCTTAAACCAGTTCCATTTGTCTCTAGCCTAGCATGATATCCTAGAGGAACTGGCTCATGGACTTCCGTCTGTTTGGGTTTTTTTCCCCCTTCCCTTTCCTTCTGAAGTCACTTCAAGTGACAAGTCCCTCTCAACATATGCTTGAGGCAACATCAAGCTAATTATCAATCAACAGTGTGATCTGTAGGCCAATGGGATCTAATTTCAACCTTATGCTACAATACTGTATGTTTAGTAAACTGTACTGTGCAGGTGACCATCCCCTACTTTGTACTAATCAGAATATTTCTGGAGGGTTGTGCTTAGTTTACAGAAGTCAGTTTTTAGAGGGTCACTAGCAAACTGAAATATAAGCAGAGGAGACTGACTAGGGTGGTGAAGGTCTTAGAAATGTGATTGAATAATGGTTGTGGAAGTAGAGATGTCTGGCCTGGAAAAGTGAAAGCTAATGGGAAGAAGAATGAGAAGCTTGATGTATCACTTATCCAAGAGGCTGTGATAGAGAGGAAGGAGTAAATCTGCAAAATGGTCTCAGAAGGCAGATAAAGCATGCTTCAGTGGGAGAGAGGTGGCAGCAAATTAGATTTTGGGTCCAAATGAGGAATCACTTTCTATTATAACTGCTCAACAAAGACAGCTGTAATTTTTGTGAGCTTCCTACCAGGGACAGGTCAAACAGAGACTGTAAGGTCACCTGTTGGTGCTGATGAACAGTCAAGAATCCACTGGGGTGGATCAAAGGATGGTGAAGATTCTTTTAAACTTGATTCATGAAAGGCTAGTGAGAGGAGGAATGAGAGACGTGATGTGTCCCAAAGCACATTTCTCAGTTTAGGTTCCTAGAACTAAGGTAGGCTAAGGTTGAAATATGTGATAGAGAGGGGGAAGTAAATCTGCAAATCGATCCCAAAGGCAGGCTTTCTTTCATACGAACACTTACAAATGTGTATTATTTAAGTATTTGAGAGTCATGATTAAATCATGTGACTTAATCCAAATCTTAAAGGAAAAAGTAGAAAATACTGGTAAGAAGCTACACTGCAATCATGAAGGCACACAGTTTGAATCCACCAGCCTAGCCACTCTGTGGGAGAAGGATGGGCAGTTACCTGTTGGGCAATTAACTAAAAACCCACTGGACTGTCCGTTAAGGGCCAGTTCTAACTTGACAATACATAGCACCAACAGTGACTAAGAGGAGTCCCTGGAGGTTAGAGAGTTAACTGTGCAAAGGTTGTAGGTTAGAGTTCATGCAGAGGCACTTTGGAAGAAAGGCTGAGAGGTGTAATTAGAAAAACAATCCAGTGAAAACCTTATGGTGGGTTTTGTACAGTGGCATACATGGATGGGGTCACTGTAAGTCAGAATCAACTTAATGTCAACTAGCGGTAAATGACTCAAAACCAGCTACAATTCTCTCTCAGATGTAGCAGTACCAGTATCATGCTACAGCATAATATATGCCTGCCCCTATTGGACAGAGATGGTTTCATTTTAAACTGGTAAAAAATTGTCTCTTTTATTCTTGCATGGGCCCATTTGAGAAAGATGTTCACCTTTGCTGTAGAATAATTCTTTGAGGAGGATCTCAGAAGCTACAGTTCATTCCGATATAAAAGAATAGATTTGAAATGGTCCCAACACAGAAAAAAAAATGTTTCCCCCCCTTTTTTCTTTTAGAGCAAACAGTCTGTGATATTTCCAAGCTGGCTAAAACAAAGTTGGAAACATGGAGAGATATTTTAAAATAAACCTTAAAATAGTTTTTTCCTCCCTTCCTCAGTTTTCTTCATCTGAATTTTATTTTTTTGTGTGTGTATGCTGCAATTCTGTTTTAAAACAACAGATTAAGAAAAGTACAAGCATCTTAAAAGAGTGCAAAAAAATAATTTCCCGAGTAAGCAAATAAAACTTTGCACTTCAAATCAGGCCTTGATTCATTAAAAATCTTAAACTTCTCATGAGAAAAATTAACATTTAAACCACTGCTGCTTGGCCAAGCACTCCACCACACAAGAATATGAAATATCTCCTCTAAAAAAAGTACAAAAAGGACAAAACCACAAATGTGGAACTTCAATTAATTTAAAGCCCCAATCAGCAAAGAATAAATCCTTCGCAGATCTAATTACCAGCGCTCTCGGAAGACCCAGGCCGACCAGCCAATCTTCCCTGTGTTTGAACAGCTTGATGAACTAGGGGACTGATGGATATCAAGTCATTTTGTTTAATTTATAAATGGATTTTCCCCTAATACTTAAATTATCATCAGTACAACACAATGAAAATGGGAACATTCTGAATGCAAAGTCTATAAGAGTCCTGGAAAGAATCCCAATGAGGAATGTCACCTCTGTTCATTCCTCTATACAATTGATCTAATTAAATACTGAGGGTGGAAAGGCAGTTTAAAATGTAGCCATTTCTGTTTTCTTTTTAGCCTTAATTTATCTGTTCACATCTTTCAAGTACCTTCTGATGCTTAAAAAAAAAAAAGCAGCAAGATTTCTGCAAGTCCCCAATACTTTTAATTCCCCATAAGCTAATATTAAAAAAGCCTCTATCATAGGATTTGCTGAATAATAAATACATGCATTTCGCTGTGGTAACAATAAAAGGAAGAGGGTGTTCCAAATCTAAATTGTTTCCCTCCAGTAATATGAAAGAGGAACTAAAGGCACCAGTACCTTCCATACGTATTGTTCAACTGAAATTAGATCTCTGGATTATACTTATTAAAATGTCTCTTTATTTTCAAATCTCTTCCTTATTTAATTACTGCAAGGGACTGAAAGCTGCATGGAATTGTTAAATACCGCTAGACCTATTTATAATCTCTTCACACTGGCAATTTGAGCGCAATCACTTGGCAAAGGTCCTGCCCACCAACCCACACATTGGGATTGCAATTCCCACCTGGCTCGGGGGTCTCTGACTGAGAGGAGGAAGATGCTGAGCTGGCTCCATCCTCAGCGGTGCCCTGTGAGAGCAGACCTCGCCCAGGTGGGAGCTTCATGCCCAGCTGCTCTGCCATCTCCACGTGGTCCCCAGGGTGCACATAGTCAAAAACACTGCTTCCTGTCAGCTCCACCTAGAGGGGGAAGAGAAAGGGTAGGGGGAAAAGGTGTCACAGGCTTTTCCAATTTCAAAACTCAGTACTACCAAGGTTCTGATTCTGCTCAGCATATGAAATACCCACTGGCTCCAGGAACCAGTCTAGGATCTAAATGTCCATCCTTAAGTAGTTAAAGATTTCTTTTTAACTTCAAAGAAAACAGGAGTTTTATTTTTTCAAATGTATGTATTTAGAATGTGTTCAGCCCAGTTTTCCTCAAACATCATTGTTTGCATAGAGCCAAAACAGTTGTGTGCGTGTGGACGAGCGGCCTCGCATGCCGCTGTTTTATCCACGCATCATCAAATACTTGCATGTTTGGTGTCAACTGGATGATTGACTGAACGCTACAGTTTTCTTACTGAGAGCTCTGGGCTTTGTACAAAACCAGCCACGATAGCAGACAAGTATTTTCCATAAAATACACGGATTTGCAAGATGCATTTTTATACGTATCAGCTTATTTCTATGTAAATTTAAATGTAAGAAGTGCTGCTTATGAGTATATGCAAAGACATAATGTTTTCATTAAATATTACTCATTAGCTCTGTAATCATATGGAGAATTTTCCATGCAAAGAAGGTCATCTGGGGTCTGAAGCAGCCATTTTTTTTGCTAGTATCAGCTTGTTTTGCAGTTCAATCTAATAAAAGAGATGGTACCGTTCTCCTTGAGGGCTTTTTTTGGGGAAAATGTTTTGTTTTGTGTACTTTTTATATGAGGCTGACTCTAAAGGTAGAGAATGAATCTTAAATATAGGAAAGTGCCAGCCTGAAATGGAGGCACTGCTCACTCCGGGGCAGTCAGGCGTGGCCAGGTCTGGGTCAGGCAATATCTGAGGGGGCAGAATCTGCTGGTAAGGAGTGGTCTTAACTCGGTACTTTTTAATGCGATAACTCTAATCTTTTAAGAAGAGCAATAATGCTCCTCAAGTAATGTACTAGGGTTACAGGTACTACAACAAGGAGAGATGTGTCAGCAACAGGACAAGGAAAAGCTCTCTCCCAGGTCACTAATGGGTTTCCCATCGTCAGGAGTTTAATAGTCTCATGGCAGGTTTGATGTGCCACAGAACTGCCTGCACTTATTTTTTTACAAGTTTCTTGGTGGATACCTAGAACCCCTTCCTACCTCTTATCTTTTTCTCAATATTTCCCCAACATCTCCCAAAATGCCACTTGAGTAACATCATACATTTTGCTGCTAGGGAGGGAATCCTAGTGGTGAATTGTCATAGAACCTGAAATACCTACAGCAATTATTACCCCCAGCACTCTAAGTCCTAGTAAAATTATTATATCTACTCCTAGAATCCATTTGATTAAAATCTTTTAACAGGCTACACATCTTCAACATCTATCAATTAGCTAAGGAATAGCCAGAAAAATGGGATGAGGAATTCAGGTTGGTTAATAGCTCTTCCTGAAAAGAGCTTGCATAACTTTTACTGAAAATGAGGCACTTTCTCTTGGCTATTAAATTACACTCTCTTACTGTATTACCCTACTACTGACTATATCATTTTACAATAACTATTCCCTCCATTGGTATTGCTATAGAGCATAAATCAGGATTCATAAGTGATCAGTTCCTATCCTCTGGGAGGGAGGGATTACATGTAAATAATCCCTTTAATGTGCGCCTGGCCTCTAAGCAGTTCACACAGCAATAAATGGGTAAACTGACTTGGAGCAATTAAGAAATGAAATGGAACTAAAAAATATGCTTTACTATTTCTTGATGGTGATTTTGTTTGAGGATTAGTGAATATGAGGGAATCATTCTCATGTTTCATAGTCCAATTGCAGCACTGCTGTAAATCCAGGTTTTCCAAACTTTTCAGTTTTTCTTCAATACTATATAGTACATCTCATGCACAAGCCACAGATTGTGATAAATTGGCAACACAGTTAGAAATGGAATAGAGTTTTTTAGGAGTGCTGGTTATTACAAGTTCTTTAAAAGACAGACTTACACAAAAAGTAAACTGTCATCTCATCTGATTTGCTCAGATGTGTAGGCAATTCCTTCCCATACAATAACATTTCAGGTACCACACATCTAAAGAAAGCCTGAATTCCATGGACCAATTATGTCATGGTGAGGGCTTTCTTCTCCAGTGAACCCAGGGGATCCTCCACCAAGCCTAATAAAGGATGAGGAGACTGACATGGAGAATTTGACATTACTATAATATTCATGTATGTAAAAGACATATTATTTGGCATTAGAAGCTGAACTTGAGATCAAGACTTTTTCTGCCTTGACTGGGTGACCTTTGCCAAATCATCTGACATTTCTAGACTTCTGTATCCTTCTATAAGTGGCAATATAGCCACTCTGTATTACTTCTGGGAGGCCACTCACACTGTATTGCATGTAAGTGGATGGCACCCCTGACGTGTAGTGTAGCTCCATGGGAATGGTGAAGACAGTAGTTCTTAAGTGGAAGTAGTGAGTGCTTTACATATTTAGTAGCCTAATTTTGAAAATCCAATAAAATTATACACTGGAAATCACACTAAGAAAGAAATACTACAAAATTCCTACTGTTGTTGCTGATACTTGATAGGGAAGAAGAGATGACATGCAGAAATGGATATTTCTGTGTGAGTTCTGTGCTTTAGGGGGATTGTATGATCACTTTGGATGCCTGTTTAAATCAGTAGGGGTGATGCATATTTCCAACCTCAACTATAGCAATAACAATATTAGCATCTACCTAATTATATGCTAAGACTTCTGCACATTTTGCTTTGATTAATCCTCAAAAAACCTTTAGTGCTGGTATAATTATCCTTATTTTATAGAAAAAGAAGCCGAATGCTAAGTGGTGGAGATAGATTTGATCAAAATCTCTCTGCTTAACATAACTTCCCATACTGAAGGTATTCAGAGCTGCCTTTTCCTTTAATTTTGCTTAAATCCAGGAGAGAAACTGAGTACTCTGAAGGGAGCATGCTAAGGGTCGGTAGCCTACTAATCTGTGGTTTGAGCATGTTTTGGCATTGGACTCTTGGACCAAAAGAACGTACTAATAAAGCAGGTGCATTCAACAAACATACATTTGTGGCTGGACAAAAGTCTACTTACCTGTGAATATTGAATCCCTATTTTCATCACTACATCTTGTATTTATCTGATATTTTCAGCATTTCTAATATTGTTTCTACTTAATTACATTTTAGAGCTATAAGATACTTAAAAGGCATAATACTTCCTTTATTGAATAGATAAAAACCTTATAGTTTTTAGAAAATGCTTGTTGACATTTATCAGCTGTTCAGTGCTGGGAGAATCAGGATTGGAAGTCCAACTGGCTAACTCTCCATCTACAGCTTTTCTCACTAAACTCTTGTTGAACTTCTCTTCCCCCACCCCTTAAGCCTGACAAGGTAAGATAGAGAACAAACTCATATTTCCTGCTACTAAATTCGATGCTTCAAAAGAGAATACAGAAATAAAGTGTGGGCATATTTCATTTTTGAATAATATATATTACTTCATGTCAGTTTCAAGCAGGAAAAAGAAAAAGAGCTCGAGTCCAGTACCATTGTAATTCACTGTACACAGGGACTTTATATACAACAGATCAACCCCATGCCCAGTTCTGTGCCATCCTCAGAGCTTCTGCTGGGCTACAGTCACTCGTGGTAATGAGTGTTAATTCATCTCATTGAGGATTTTCTTGTTCACTACCTTGTACTTTCTAAACATGGTGTTCCTTTCCAGGAATCTGTCCTCTTTGATAACCTGTGCAAAGTATATGAGTTGAAGCTTCATCATCCTTGTTCCTATGAAGAATCATTGTTGTTGTTGAGTATGGTAGAGTCAGAACCGACCCATAGTTGACCTTCCCATGGGTTTTCAGAGGCAGACTGCCCATCTTCTCCTGCAGAGCAGCTGGTGGCTTTGAACCATGTGCCTTTGGGATGCAGCACAGTTTTTTGCCACATTGTTGTTGTTGTTATGTGGCATTGAGTCACTTGTGACTCATAGCGACCCTATGTACAAGAGTTCTAAACGCCGTTCTGTCCTGTGCCAATCTAGCCATCCCAAATACACTTATTCCCACCACTCCACTCACAGAATCGATCCATCTCATCGAAGGTCTTCATCTCTTTCGCCGCCCCTCCACTCTGCCAAACATGATGTCCCTCTCCAAGGACCAGTCCCTCCTTGCAACATGCCCAATGTATGTCAGACAAAGCTTCAGAATCCTTGCCTCCAAGGAGCATTTTGGCTTCACCTTCTCCAGGAAAAACCTGTTTGTTCTCCTAGCAGTCCATGGTATATTCAACACTCTTCTCCAGCACCACAGATCAAAGGCATCAATTCTCCTTCTATCAACCCTATTTACTGTCCAACTCTCTGATGCATAGCATGTAATTGTGAAGCCTATAGCGGATCAGGCTCACCTTAGTCTCCAGCCTGAAAGGTGACCCAAGAGAGTGAGGGAATTATCGAACAATATAATTAATATCACATGCAAGCAAGATTCTGCTGAAAATTATAAAAAAAAAATGTTTGGAACAATATGTCAACAGAGAACTGCCAGATGTGCTGGCTGGATTTCGAAGAGGTCGTGGTACTAGGGGTATTATAGCTAATGTTAGATGGATCTTGGCAGAAAGCAAAGCATACTAGAAGAATGTCTGTCTGTGCTTCATTTACTATGCAAAGGATCAGAACAAGCTGTGACTGACTCTGAGAAGAATGGGAATCCCAGAACATTTGATCGTGCTAATGTGAAACCTATACTTGGACCAAGAGGCAGTTGTCAGAACAGAGCAAGGAGACACTACATGGTTCAAAATCAAGAAGGGGGTCCATCAGGGATGTATTCTCTCTCCATACCATTTCAATCTGTATACAGAGCAGATCATCTGAGATGCTGGGCTGTATGAGGAGGAATGTGGCACCAGGATTGGTGGAAGAGTCATCAACAACCTGCGTTATGCAGATGACACAACCC